GAAAGAACCGATGGTATCCATCTTAGGGATAAGCTACTAGGCCTTCCACCCATCTCTTTCCTCAATGTTAAGAATGGCATGGAGGACCTAAATTTTGAAATACTGATATCATACAAATATTATCTGTTCATTTTTCTTATATCAGCATAGAGAAGTAAGTAAATAAAAAATAAGTGAATCACTCCTGTCACCCAAAGAAAATTACTCCCAGGTTGGTTATGGGTAAAATTTATATTTACTTGACAGGGAAGCATGCAGAGATAATTGTTTCACTCTCCCTCTTTTTAATACCAACTTAGTACGGGAAATCATTCACTATTACTCAGCTTGGTTAGGCAGGCAAGGAGCCAGCCCCCAGATGTCAGGACAGATATAGGGGCTTAGCAATTGAATGGGTTAGAGGAGACAAATGATTTGAGCAGATGCCACATTGAAGTTGTGAGAGGGAACATCTGCCGTTCTATTTGCTAAGGTATTTGGTAATCAGGAAGACAGTGTAAATGCACAAATAGAGCCACCTGTATTGAGATTCAGAGCATGAACACTGATGTGGATGTTTTGTAGCTAATTAGATGTGGAGTGTTACATTGTGTCTCTAATTTTACAGAATGAAAGCAGAATGTTCCTCTCCATCACAGTTTACTCTCAATTTTCAAGGAGAAAGTGCGGTCTCATTTCTCATTCCCATTCCAAATGAGCAAGAATGAACCACAACAACCATACCTCAGTTCCTTGTTACATAGCCCAAATGTCCAGGCTTCAGTAGTTCTACATAGCATAATAAAGTCCCATTTCTTTATGTTCAAAAATTATAGCACCTTAAGTTCCCACCTATTTTGCCCTAGGAAGTCCAGTTCTTCTACCAGCTTCTTCTTCACCAATGTTTCTGGGACACCCTCCCCCCACCATGGAATTGCTTCACAGCCATTATACTCTTCATGGCTGATCCCAACCTCAGGCACTGGGGAGCTCTGGCTGCTGGTGGGGAAGTCCCCTAGAGTTCTTGGACTTGCTTCTTTCCATCTGCTATTTTCCACTCTCCCTTTCTGCACCCCAAATGTGCACTTTCCCTGACTTTTTCTTAGCCAATGCAGAAACCAAGCCATAACATTTAAAGGGAGTATTATGAGGAAGGGGACTTGGAGTTAACAAAGAAGAATTTTAACAATAAAGGGGAAATGAATAGCAGATGTGGTTCTGCAGCATTCAGAGTCCCCCTTGTCTTCCGGATCATTCACATTCCTTAAGCAAAGACTAGCTTACCTTCCTATTAGAGGAATGCTCAAATAGCTTTTCTGTTTGAGGCTAAAGGCATCAAGAAAGGAGACTTTCCCCTATCTCACCTTTTTCCAGTCCAAGACTTGCCTCCCAAAACTTTTTCTGGTCCTGGATCCTGTTTCCTTTCAAGATTGATTGACAGTAGCAATGTCCTTCAACAAGACAGTATTCCCAGAAAATGCTATTTGGTCCTCTATCATTATCATTGTGAAATCCAGGTCTGTGTACATTGATGTTACACATTCTCTGACCAAATGCAGTTCTTAGCCTCTCCTTCAGCATAAACACCTTGCAAATAGCTCAGCTCATGACTCTCATGAGCAGCAGCTTTAATATTCACACACACACATACACACACACACACACACACACACACACACACACCTCCCAAGAATAAGCCAAAAGCGCTAGTGTTTATGTGGTATTGGAAATGCTCTACCAATGAGCTGCATCCCCAACCTTTTTTATTTTATTTTGAGACAAAGTCTCACTAAGTTACTGAGACTGGCCTTAAACTGATGATCCTCCCGCCTCAGCTTCCTGAGTCACTGGGGTTATAGGCATGTGCCACTCTGCCAAGCTTTTGCAGCATTTTTCTGAAAACTAAGAAAGTTACCTTAAAAAACACACATCTGTCAAATACAGGTCAGCTTTGGATTGTTACTTCTTGTTCACCTGACTCGACTCCCAAATGCCTTCATTGACAGTTACACCTCCTTGGCTTTCACTCTTTCTCTCTTTCCTCCTCTCTCTCCCTTTCTTTCATTTTTATTCTCACTTATTTTCCTTCCTTGTTTATAGACAGTTCTGTCTACTAACTGAAAAAAATACTAACTGGGCAGAAAATTATTTAAACAGGCTCATGCCTCACCATAAATTCCTGGCTCTTGAAATTCACAAAGAAACAGGCTAGGATAGTAGGCATATTAGAGGTAACTGGAAGACAAGAGACTCACCCTCCAATGCCTTGGCAGTATGTGTTTTAGTCATCTTTCATCACTGTGACAAAATACCTGAGATAATCAACTTATGAAGAAGAAAGTTTTACATAATTCTTCATGGTAGAAGAGGCTACTAACCTTATGGCAGCCAGAAACAAAGAAGAGACTGTTACAGTAAGTAAACCTGCATTGACATATAATTACTGAATAAAGTCTGTAGTTTACATTGTTTACATTGGTGTTACACTTTCTCTGGGTCTTGGCCAATTATAATGACATATATCCATAAAGCATTGTATAGAATAGTTTCACTGAAAATCCTCTGTGCTCCTTTCAAACCCTGACAATACAACTGGTCATTTTACTTTCTCCATAGTTTTACCTTTTCCAGAGTGTCACATAGTTGGAATCCTATAGTATGCATCCTTTTTGGCTTCTTTGGGTGCATTTAAAGTTCCTCTGTGTTTTTCCATGGCTTCATTGTTCATTTCTTTTTAGTGCCAAGTAACATACTGTATAGATGTACTGTACTTGTTTTTACCCATTCCCCTACTCTGGGACATCTTGGTTACTAATCAAGTTTTGACAACTATAAGTAAAGCTGATATAAATATCTCATGTGGTTTTGTGTGGAAATAGTTTTCAACTCATCTGGGTAAATACCAAGGAGTGTGATTGTCACATCTTATGAATCTTATAGTAGAGTATGTTAGGGTTTTTGTTTGTTTGTTTGTTTTGTGTTTGTTTCTTTGTTTTTAAGGAACTGCCAAATTGCCAACAATAATGAATGAGCATTCCTGTTATTTCATATCCTCATCAGCATTTGGTGTTGCCAGTGTTCTGAATTTTCACCACTCCTTTTTTGAAATAGATTCTTGCCATTCTAAGATACATAATGGTACCTAATTTTTGTTTTAATTTGTGACTCCTAACAATAAATAATGTTCAGTATCTTTTCATATGCTTATTTACCATCTGTACATCTTCTTTGGTGAGGTCTGTACAGGTCTTTTGTCCATTTTTTAATTGGATTTTGTGTTTTCTTCTTGTTACATTGAAGATTCTTTTTAAATGATATTAATAAGTATCTTCTTGAAAATTCTCATTCTGATTGATACATTTATCCATAATGATCTGATACAACAGTATGAATCATAAATTGGGGAAAGTGACAGGAATGGGGAATGAATAGAGAAAGAAGAATTCAATTTATTAAGTTCCTCCTTTGTTTTTATACAAACTAGACATCTATTCACAAAGCTGGAAATAACAAACAGATTCTGACATCTATTATCAAAATTAAGTGGCCAGGGACTCTGAACTTAAAGTAGGGCTCTGCTGGATAATCATGATAATCTACTCCCAAAAGGAAGGGGATCTTATTCACATTCCCGGCTTTCTAACTTCTTATCTACCTTCACAAAAGAAAGAAATAAAAGACAGTGCATTTTTTTTGAACATTTAGTAATACCAAGGTAAGTTGATTCAGACAAACAACATTGCAAGATGTCTAAGCCTGTTGATTTATGGCTATTTGTAAGGCATGTAGGTAGTATATGTGTGAAAAAGAACCTAACATTTGTCCAGTAAAACTTCAGCTATTTAAATAGGTCCTGGTCTTTGTTCTATAAATATTAAAAAGCTGATTGTGTCTAGAGCTTCCCTATTACCATGGGGAGTTGATAGCCACCACATTCCTGTTGCAGAATGATGTGCTCCATTTCAGGATGGAGTCTGCAGATCTGTGGCCTTCTTAGAGATGTCCCCATTGTCCCACCAACTGAGTGAGCAATCCATCAGAATGTACAGCTTACAGGGAAATAGATGTGAAAGCTCATTTCCTGAGAATGCTTGCCTCAAACTTCCCCAGGTCTTTCTTAAAGCAAAAACCGAGGTCAAACCACTTCCCATTGTTTCCAATATCTCAAATCTCCTGGTTGCCAAAATCCAAGCACCGTCCAACATAAAAGTGAGTCAAAAAGCCAAGCAGAGCATGCCTTTCCTGAGTCTCCCCATAAATCTCATGGTCTAAGTCACCAGAGACCAAATTCAGTCTTTAACTGAGCCATGTTTTGTTTTTATTTTTGTTTTTAATCAAAAGAGACGATCACTTTGGACAGTTCCTCGACAGTTTCTTATAAAGTAAAATATACACCTACCACATAACCAAGCAATTGTACACTTCAATATTTACTCAAGAGAAAGGAAAACAAACACCTGCACAAAATCTTACATATAAACATTCATGGCAACTCTGTTCAAAATAGCCAAAAACAGAAACAATTAACATGCGTAGCCACAGAAGACTAGATAATTGTAGTAAGCCCATACAACGAATTACATCCTAACAATAAAAAGAAACAAACTATTGGTATGTGCAGGAATATGAATGAACTTCATTAGTGAAAGAAGCCAGACCTAAAAGAATATATACCATAAGATTCCACTTACGGAAAGTACAAAAACAGACAAAACTAATTTATGGTGATAATGATCCAAATCATAGTTGCTTTTCTGGGCAGGGATCGACTGGGGCAAGGGATAAGGAAACTTTCTGGGCTAAAGAAAGCGTTCTGTATTTTGGTGGGGATGATGATGATATGGGAAAACACATTCGTCTAAACTTAGAAAACTGTACACTTAAAATCTGTACATTATGTTGTATATAATTTTTGAAAATAGTTTTTGGGGAAGTAGAAAAGAAAGAGGAATCCCCATACAGGCAAAAAGAAAGCAGTGGTACATGGTTTCCATGGTGATTTAAGCTCCATATTGGGTCTATGTGTTCAAATAAATTTTTATTAGCATGGGATTATTGAAAATCATCATCAGCCAGATGACAGCAAAAAAGATGAAGAGACAGACCTTCCAGAAATAATGTTCCCCGTGATTTTTTAAAAGCGCATTTTTCAGTCATTATCTTGAGAGAAAACAAGCAGCTGGGTCTCCTAACAAAGAGGTTTAATAGGATCCTGGAAAAAGAGGGGAGAAATTGAGGTGAACAATGCCTGTTTCTGTGCCAGTCACACAAAACCAAGCCTCACAAGGTGAAGCCAATGTCCCCTCTCTGCCAGTAACATCGTAAGAGGCATAACACTCGATAATGAGGGTCCCCTAATTATTGGCGTGATTGGAAGCATATTGTTCAAAACATTCTAAAACCTAAAATTGCAGCAGCAAATGCATTAAGGCCCTCACCCTCGTCTGTGAAAATAGACGCAAATGCAAAAGGAAAGAAGATTCGCAGTCTTTGGGGTCTCAGTGTGCATTGTCCATGCTTTCCCTCTTGATTCTTTCTGCCTCCCTTCCATTTCAGATTCATCTGGTCTTGAGTTTCAGAGTTTCCATGTGATCTCCAGCCTAGTTTGTTCTTCTCTTACCTTCTCCCCAGTTTTACACAAAATCAGCAAAATACAAGTAATAGGTGATTTGTAAGGACATCACAGAACATCTGAAAAGCAAAAAGAGGGAGGTTTGGGTTTTGTTTAGCAGGTTTTTCTCCTCGCCTGAGACTACACACATATATGCTATTTAATTGTAAAATTCAGATGGTGGATGATGGAAAGAGGGAGTCCAGTAACAAAGAAGCACAGAGGTGCCTTCTAAATTCTACTTAGACTAAATTAACTATGTGGGCAACAAAAAAAAGGTGCTGCTTTTTCCTTAAACACATATATTAGCAGAGATGCAGGCTAAATAAATCCCGTTTTAGTGGGAAATGAATTATGTAAATGTAATTTATAGCATTAATTCAACTTGTAAATTTAATCCACTCAAACACAGAAAGGTTTCCGTGCAATGAATATTTCTGAGGTTGTTTAATATGTTAAAATAAATATTGAGCAGCTGACAGAAAAACATGTTCTTCGCCTCACAAAAGCTGTTTTGAAACAATAATTTAAGTGCCTACTGAATATTTACAATCATGTGTTTTAAACTCTTAGCTAAATTTTTTTCCTAAAATATGTCCAAGCAGCAGGCAGATTCTAATGACAAACATTTGCAAGTTCGAAGCCAGTGTCAGCAACTTAGTGAGACACTGTCTTTAAAAAAAAAAAAAAGTGTGGGGATGTAGCTGAGGGATAAATTTCCTCTGCGGTCAATCCCCCCAGTACAAAAAAAAAAAAAAAAAAAAAATGGACATGCCAAGAACACTTTAGGTAAACTACTGCCATGAGTTTTGGGAGAGAGAAGCACTTTTTAAAAAATAGGCCTATTTAAATATGTCATCTGGAAGCCTGCAAGAAACACACATAGGTGAGGAGTTTTATACCACCCCCAAAGCACTTGTCATTCACCATTCATGTGGCTAAAGCATTTTAATGGGAACAGGAGTGAGCAATTTAGAAGTGTTTTATTTAAGAATGTAAACAAGACTGTGCATTTTAAAAAACATAACGAAAGAGTGGGACAAAAATAACTCATTCTACTCTTTGGGGGAAAAGAAAACCTGAAGGATTTATTTGAAAGATTACTAGCTGGGAGATCAATTAATCCTAGTTTTGACTTGAATATGGAGACCACAATGTTTACCCGCCACCCTTCCCTGAATGTCCTTTTTCTGTGGCTTGGGTAGGATTATGAGACAAGAGCAGTTCACAGACTCCAGATTTTAACTAAGAAAGTTTTGTTGCTTTTTATATAGGAAATGATCACCCTTTCTCACATTCATAGTACCTAACCAGAAAGTTCCCTGAGGTAGAAAATGGAGGCCCCGTGAATGGTTTCTACATGAATTTCCTTCTTCCTCAAGTTCCTGCTGTGCAGACCTCTCTTGAAGCACCGATTACCAACTCCTTAAAAAAGGCAGAAACTGTCTTATTCATTTATTCCCCACAGATTCTTGTTAGGACAGGTAGGTTCATAGTGGGCATTGGTGAATTAAATCCATCTTCTTCCTCCAAACCTTTAGTATTGAATTATGCCCACTGCTTTATTCTCAAATGCCTTTGATCTCTAGGGCCTACAGAGAAGGAAAAGGAAGACTTGGTAAAATATCTGTGCTTTAAAAAGGTGTTTACTGGGAATACAGTCACCCCTCTTATCCAGGGTTTTGCTTTCCACAGTTTTAGTTAACCTCAGTCAATCATGGTCTGAAAATATAAAATGGAAAATTCCAGAAATAAGCAATTCATAAGTTTTAAATTATACACCATTCTGATTGGTATAATGATGTCTCATGGTATTCCATTCCCTTTTGTCTGGGTCATGAAACATCCCTTTGTCCAGTGCATCTGTATTGTATATGCTACTTTCTGATGAGCTACTTAGTCCAAGCACAGTTTTTAGATCTGTGGCAGTATCCCAGTGCTTATGTTCAAGTAACCATTATTTTAGTTAATAATGGCTCCAAGGCACAAACTTTTAGGACATTGTTATTATAGTTGTTTTGTTTTAATACTAGTTATTTTAGTACTAATTACTGTGCTTAATTTATAAATTAAATGTTATCACAGGTACTTATGTATAGGAAATACATTGTATAGAGAGAGTTCAGTACTGTATGTGGTTTCAGGCATCTTTGGAAATGTATCCCAAAGATACTATACAATTTCTAGCCCCCACTCTGGATTTTCTTGCAAAGATGCATGATGTGTAACAGGAGCAAGAACAGACACAGAAACTTGATAGATAAAGACATCTCACAGAGCTCATTATATTTGGAGAATCTATTGGACGATTCCTGGATGTGGGTAAGCCAGGAAAGACAGAAATAAAAAGAAAAGATTTTGATAAAGACCAAAAGATCATTTTTTAATATTTATTTTTTAGTTGTAATTGGACACAATACCTTTATTTATTTATTTTTATGTGGTGCTGAGGATCAAACTCAGGGCCTTACACTCACTAGGCGAGCGCTTTACCGCTGAGCCACAACCCCAGCCCCAAGACCAAAAGACTCTTAACGCAAGAGTTGATTTTTTTTCAAGTGACACATCTATTACATATTAAAATCAAAGATTTTATTTCTTAAGATCTGCTGTCTTGAAATTTTAATAGAACTAATTGGAAAAAAAACATGATTTAACAGAAAAATCATCTCCATATATAGTGCTTTTTAGGAACATGTTATATGCAAAAAAGAAGCAACATTTATTGCCAAAGTCCTTTTTATTTTGAAATAGGATTTTGCTAAGTTGCCCAGGGTAACCTCAAACCTTCAATCCTCCTACATCAGCCTCCTTGGAAGATGGGATAACAGGCATGACCATTGAATCTGCTAAAATTATAATTTTAAAAGATTTTTTTAAAAAAAGAGCTAACAATCTTAAAAGCTAACTTGTGGTAGTTTTTAACTGGTCAATATCTTGGTATTTGCGATATTTCACAGTTTAATGCCCAGACTTTCATTGCTCCCCAGTGTTACTGTGTTTGTTCAGGTTGCATACTGAACAACTCTAGGGACATCATTCACACAAACTGCAATGTGAATTCTAGAATAGTGAAGGGTACAAGCTGCACAGGAACATATAGCCGCCCTCAGTCCCCTCACAGCAATTCTGAATTAGAACGTTGTTCAGTCTCACACAATCAGCATTTAGTAAGCTAAGCACTTGAGACTCAAATTTTTCTAAATCCAAAAATTCCTTTGAGCATGAATCCTAGTTTCTGAATAGGTAATCAAATGTGTATTAACACCAAAAAAGTGTGCTTTTACTTTCATAGAAGCAAGCTTCACCATAGCCCTGATTGCTCTGCTGGAATCAGGGACACGGAGATGCTGCCAGTGGTGGAGGCAACTTCCATGCGTGAGTTTCTGGGCGGACATGCATTTTCAAGGGGAAGAACAGATCTTGTAGCTAATCACTTTCCCTCCTGAGGGAAGTTTTTCAGCTGAGGCTGAAAAACACTAAATCTGCCTTTGTCCTGGGTATCCAAGGACAGATAATGTTCTGATGAAAATGTTTCCAGTCTTTTGAACATGCATATTTGTGTGTGTTTAGAAAACAACTCTGCAACGAATCATATAAATAATAGAGCAGTGCAGTATATGTCTCCCAGAGAGCTCAGGAAGCGTGGAAGGTATTATCTCATTAGGGCTGACGGCTGCCTTGGTGATGCAATGGAGTAGTAACCTCAATTGAACTGTTATGTGCTTTAGCTACCAGAGGAAAGGAACAAATTTAAATTCTCCACGGAAGCTGTGGCTGAAATACGATACTGTGAGTTGAGCTGGCCAAGTCTTTGCAACCAGGACTCCTGCCCAGCATGCAGGAGACAACAGCAACTGTCAAGGGCAAGACCAAAGCACTCAGGAACTGGTCAGAAATCACCTGGACAGCATCTTTGAGTTTGGGTGGGCTGGCTGGGAATGGAAGGGCAGAGCAGGTAGGAATGACTCAGGTGGTTGGCAGAGCCACAGTGACCAGACTCCTCTTCTAGTCCCAGAGTGTAATTGAGCCTTGTGCCCTGCCCACATCACCTGTCCCATGCTGGGCAGTGGCTTCCAACACCAGCACCTGCACTCACTCCCTCCAGCCTTCCTCTGGCTCTTGGAACCAGCTCGGTCTCTTAATAACAGGCTGGAAATGCCATGGAATTAACACCCTCTGGAGCAATTGTAAACACCCAGCTCTCTTGGCACATGGTATCACCCCCACTGCCTTCAGCTCCAGCTGTCCACAAAGGAAACTCACTTGAAAACATACCATTCTCTGTCTGCCTTCCCTTCCCTGCCTCACTTCCCCACTCCTCTACCTATATTTCCTTCAGCAACTTATAGCAGCATGTGCTTCTGGAGGACCCAAATTAAGATAATGACCCATCCAAGAAAAAAAGAAAGAAATCTTTGAAGCCACAGATGTCCCTTTCAGGATTACACCTGCCACTTCTATTAGTCCCACTGAGGCAGAGACCTCCTGGGTAGACTCTCTGGGCGTAAGGTGTCCACAAACTCCTACCAGGCAGTAGACATGATAAACAGCAAATAGTGTTGTTTATGACTGTGATTTATTACACCAATAGCATACAAAGCAGAATCAACAAAGGGAAAGAGTACAGGGGACAAAGTGAGGGAAAAGGGCACAAGCTTCTGAAAGTCCTCACCCAGTGGAGCCACACAAGATGCACCTATTTTTTTCCAGCAATGGGTTGTGCCACCACAGAACCGTGTGCACATGCTCACAGACCAGACATGCCTGAGAGTCTGTTCTGGAGGTGCTCCACACAGTCTCTCGGACATCCACAGCACGCTGAAGAACGTACCCTTTGTTGTGTTTTTTTGTTCCCTGTTTCACCTCCCATCCCACACCATATTTCCTCAGATCATTCCCCAGTAACTGCTAACACCATCCACATGAGAAACAGTTAAGAAAAAAAAAAAAAAAATCCAGGGCTCCTTAATGCCAAATCTAAGAAACCTGTTCCATATTATCAACTGGAAAGCATTTCACCTAAAAATACTTCCCTGAAATATATTTAAATATCTCCTACTCATCCTTTCTTTCCAGGCTTGACTAACAAATGCCAGCATTCTGGCTTCTGGTATGTGCTTATGAACAAGGTGCACTGCCTTGCGGTTAAGTGCATGAGATGCCAGATTCTAAATCCTGCCCCGTGCGGCCTCTCAGAGTCATCTGAGAACTACAGAGGGGCTGCCACAGAGCACGCACTGAACATATGGGAGGTTCTGCTATTATTTGGGTAAGAGGTTCCATTCCAAGCTGGGGGAGGGAGTGTGGAGTCTATCTAAAATGTCACCCACCTCCACAACTTCCTCCTTTCAAGTGCTGCAGGATGAGAAGTCAAGAAAATGCTGTCCTGAAACCATCTTTGGTCTTTTAAAGTGCCGTGGAGAGAGAATACTCTGCTTCATTTTCTACATACCACCTCGGCTGAAAGAGACCTGGATGACACTGTAAATATCAAGTGCTTCTTAAGGTGCTGGCTAATGGCAAGGCTCACAACCTGAGAGGGCAGAGAGACCACAAGGAGCTAGTTGCCCAGCTCGTGCTAATCCTCTTCACTTTGTTTATATCTTTAAGGTCTACTATTAGCCCCTGCCAATGCTAATGCAAAAACTCTCCAGTGAAAAGAGGATGCTTAAAAAGTCACCAAGCTTCGTGTTACACACCTGTAATGCCAGTGGCTCAGGAGGCTGACCCAGGAGGATTGCAAGTTCAAAGCCAGTTTGGGACACTTAGAAGACCCTGTCTCCAAGTAAAATTTTGAAAGGGTTGGGGGTGTAACTCAGTGGTAGAGTGCTTACTGGCATGCATGAGGCCCTGAGTTCAATCCCCAATACCACATGAAACACAAAATTCATGACAAGATAGACTCTGTATAGAACAGTCAAAAGAGCATGGGGGGAGGGGGTTAGAAAGACCTTGACTAAAATCTTGGTTTTGCCTGTTAGTAACTGTTTCCTCTGGCAAATTTATTCTCCAAAGTGGAAATGCCACTACCTTCTTCACGGGTTGTAGCTGCAATTATAGACAGCAATAAAAAGGACTTTTCTCAGCACCTGGCATAAGGGATTGCTTTTATGACAGATAACCCAACAACTTAGTATTACTTATTTTCAATCTCTTCTGCCTTGGCCCTTCTAGAAATGTTACTAAGAAGAAACAAAACCATCTGATTAGACTTTCTTTCTTTTTATCCTTCTTCCTTTGTCTATTTAAGACTTCAACTAATGGGAAAGTAGCCAAAAGGATGTAGAATAGAAAAGAAAAGAAAACAAGAGGTCTCAATCATCCACAAATTAAATGTGCTCTTCTAAGTGAGCTGAACTTTGTGCAGCATCAAGTAGACAGATACTCAAAATGAAAAATATGCTTTATTTGTGAATCTCATCAAATCTTCAATTAGAGGCAGTTTTAGGATCAAGCAATTTCACTGGCACATGAAGGAAGACTTATAATTAAGTATTATGCCCAAGTTAACCCTTTGGAACTACCCAGATGTAAGAAATCTGGGTGGCCAACTGCTGATATGAGCCAGGAGCTGTTTTCCCTTTCTTCCATAGCAATTGAATTTCTTGCTGAACATATGATATCCCAAAATAAAGACTATATTTCTTACTCTCCCTTGCAGATAAATGTAGTTAAGTTCTGGGCAAGGAAATACAAGAAATGGTATATGCAACCTAACAGAAGAGTCCTTATAGGGAAGCCTCTCTGTTGGCTGGAATGTGGACATAATGGCTTGAACTGGATCAGCCATCTTGACCCATGGATGGCTTGTACTAGACCAGGGATGAATATGGAACACCATGGAGAAGGAACATAATATTTCCTGGTATTATGAATAATCACACCAACCATGGACCATTTATTCAGACTTTCACATAAGAAAAATTAACTTCTATCTTTTTTCATCCACTTATTATTTTGTATTTTCTGTCCCTCACAACTGATTATAATCTTAACTAATTCAGTCTGGATGTCACAGATACAGAATTGGCTATGAAATGTTGAATTTCTTGAATGTGTTGTATGCATCCAAATTGAGCATTAAGATATATTAGCTTGATTTCCTGTGTTTGTTGGTTCTACTATTAGCAGAAGTTTCACTTTCTGAAGCAACAGAAACTATGTTGGTTATCACTTAAATAAAATTTGCTTTGCATCTATAAAAATCTCATTTATCTTCCCATTTGATTCTTGGGAGATGTGGATATTTAGTGGGTCTTTTTCCCTCGTTATACATAGATGCTTTTCTTGGGCTATGACCATCTTTTCCAACAAATAAAAATCCTCAGAAGATATTTCCAGCTTTGTAAAGTGAAGATAGGGGTGGGAGTGGATAGTTTATCTCTCTGTAGCCACCCAGTAACTCAATCCTCAAATGTTTTTCATTTGAAACAGGCCTCCACTGTCTCATTCCTGCCCTTCTTTGTTTTTTGTTTTTGTTTTGTTTGTTTGTTTGTTTTTTGGTTTTTGTTTTTGTGGTTTGCAACAGGCACAGTTATCTGATAACACTAAGAAAAACCAAGAATGCTTACCTCCCTTCCTGTTTTCTTTCTTGTTTCCATCCTTTCTTTCTTTCATTTTTTATTCTATAAAGACTTTCAGTGATATACCCCTTTGAAAGACTAAGGAATTAATGAACTTTTGGGCGGAAGAAGATTCAAACACATCAAGCAAAATCTTTCAGGGTTCATGGACCCCAGGGAGATTTGTTAGGAACCACAGGTTAAAAACCTGGGCCTTTGAGTTTAGGCAGAGTTGGATGCTGCCTAGTTTGCAGGCAGCCTCAAACTCCAGCAGTAAATAATTATCCACCATTTACCATTCGCCCTTTGTGATTTACCTAGTACCTGAATGCCATTACTTACCATTTTTGTTTAAATTGACTCACCTTTTAAACTTAAGCTTCAGTAATAGCCATGAAATCACAGATCTGATTGTCAATTCATATTTTTTTTAATGTTTTAAAATGCATGGACATGGGCTGGGGTTGTGGCTCAGTGGTAGAACGCTTGCCTAGCATGTATGAGGCACTGGGTTTGATTCTCAGCACCACATATAAATAAATAAAATAAAGGTACATTGACAACTAAAAATAAATAAATAAATAAAATTTTAAAATGAAATGTTTTAAATGAAAAATATATGCCCAAGTGCCATTGTTTTAGGTTGGGTTGAGACAATGATTACAGATCATTTATTTGAGAGGTGTTTCCAGGAAGCACCAATAGGGGACTGGGAGAAGGGAGAGAAGTCAACACTGGCAGCAGTAAAGAGCACTGGGCACTGGGACTGGGTCTCCCTAGGCATCTCTGAAAGAGGCCCATTTGGTGCCTTGGAGTTTTATCCGCTAACTCCCCTTCTTCGCCATTTGAAGACAACTCCCATGGATGTGTGTCGAGGCGGATTGTTTTTAAATGCAAGCGTATATTCGACCACACCAATCATCAAATAAAAACAATTATTGCAAAAAGTGTTGGGTGTGTGGGATTACCCCAACTGGAATTCAATGTACATTAATTAAACACTATAAGCAAATCACACAATCCTAGGGCAACCAAGAGACCCAAAATACCTCTGATGCCATGTGACTTCTCTTATTGTCCTTGTCTGGTGGTCCTCACCAGCTGATAGCTGGATGTCAGGGAATGGTGGAGTCAGTCCAGGGATGGACAGCAAGGTGGTCAGTCTCACCGATGTCTTTGAAGCAAAACTCTTCAATGTGGCAGGACTAGCAATTTAAATACAGTTCCAAGTTGGTGATGTACGTTGGTGACTGGTTACACCCAGTGAAAGTCAATGTCCATTGTTATGTCCAGTGAGGTGATGTTAATTGCAACTGGGTATGTTCTTTGCGCATGTCCATGGAGCTGTGCTCCCTATCAATTGTAACCAGTCTTTGCTAAGTGTGCCTATGGCTGGTGCCCCTTACAGCTCTTTATCAGTCGCAAACAGATATGACAAAGCAGTTCAGTGGCTGCTGTTCCATATGACCAGAAACTTGGTGAGTCCCAGCATGTCCCAGCATGTCTATGGCAGATGCTCCTTACAGTGTGGGCATAAACTCCCTGGCACTGCAGGCCTGCTGGGTAGGGTGGGCCAAGTCAGCTTCTGCAATCTGAGAAACCCTCAGGAAGAGAGTTACAAGAATTTGCAATAATAAGCCATCAGCATAGAGGGGAACAGCAAATACCAAGGTACTGCCCTTGGGACATGAACTGCATCTGCTACAACTACCTAACCTCACTTGCACACTTTCATTAGATTATGTGCAGCACTTTAGGAAGTCCTATCCAAATAGGACTTAAACAGATGTTATTTTGGCATAAGAGGATATTTTGGTTAGGTGGGCTAAGCATCTATCTACATATAATTTTCAGAATGACACAAAAGTTCCTCTCCAAAAGTAGATCTCTTTTTTAAATTCCTTCTCCCCCTTCACTGTTTTACTTTCTTCTTAAGGTAAGGTGTTAAAGTATTTTTAGCTGCAAATGTATCTGAGAAGAATAAAATGGTGTCATTAGCAGCCAATAGTTTAGATGTCATTAGCTTAGCAGATGAGGTTAAGCTGTAAGACTCAAGCAAATATTTGTAATTATTTTCATCACATTCACCTTCCCCCTGAGAGTGTCAACCCCACAGGGGCAGAAGCCACACCTGTTCCATCCACACTGCATTTGCAATGTGCCTGGCACACAGCAGAGTGTAGTCAACTTTTATGGAATGGATAGATGAATAGATAAATAAACAAGGGGAGATGGCAAGTATTGACAAAACAAAGAAGAGAAAAAGAAAAAGAAAAAGGTTAATACTTCTCATTCTTCTCCCAAAAATGGCAGGGATTCTCGGTAGAAGGTCAAGTGGGAGATGCCAAAGATCTTGGTAAAAAGGAGAGTTATGTGCCACAAAAGTCTCTATAAGAATGTTTGCCTATTTCAAGTCAAATACCAAAAAAATCATTTGGGGAATAAAATTTTCTATTCAGTCTACCTTCACAGGAAAGAACATTTCTAAATATCAGAAAGGGATACTAGAGCAACTCAATAATATCATTTGCATCAAACTGTGATTGTGACTTTGATATCACAGTCTTGATTCATGTTCTATATCTTTGTGAACACTGGAAAGTTTCTAGATGAGTAAAATATGGGATAAATTACATTTGTCTACTGATTGAGCTTATATATATACAGTACTTAATGCAGATCATAAGACAGTGGAGGAGATGTTATCCAAAGAAAGATTCCATTCCTAGATCCCTTAATCAGAATCTCCAGGAGTTGGACTTGAAAATCTGAACTGTGAAATCCTCTGTGTGTCTCTTTGAGGTCAGTCAATCTGCATCTGGAGATTTTTGCTAATGAAGGTACAAAGATGATATTGTCAATGGAATTTTTTTAAGGGGGAGAAGAGATATCAGGAATATAGAAGGGAGACCAACAGAACAGAGGAAGGGGATCAGGAGAGAGCAAAAAGGAAGGGGATGGGGAAGTAAAGGGGAATGAAACCTATGAAGTAATGTTATGTTCGTGTTCAAATATACCCAATTAATCCACTTACATAATAATGATAATGCAGTAATTAAAATAATAATAATAGAAGGAAGATCAGTAGAGTTGAACAAATGGGAGGAAGAAGAGGGAAAGGGGGAAGGACCTGGGAAAGAAGACTGAGCAAATTATGTGATGTTCAAGAACAAATATGGTGTAATGAATCCCACTATTATGTATTATTACAATGCACCAAAAACAAAATAAAAGATGATATTGTCATTTTCACACAGGAATGTGTACTCTCAAGTGGAAGGGCAAGATATAGATGTCAATCACAGACTATAAATTAGATGACAGATAGGTGTGGCAGCCATTGTTTCTCTCTTGGGAAGACTTCATATGGGAAGCAGTATTTGATCTAGACCATGGCAGATAAACAGACTTATGATGGGGAGGCCAGAGTAGGGCTAGGTGGATTTGAGGAAGGAATTTGATTAAATTCATAAAACTCAGTAAGAAGCTTAATTTTTAACCATAAGATCATAGACAATGGAAGAGACTTTAGAAATGCCTCTTTTGTCCCTCTCTCCATTCACAAGGAATTCAGGACTCAGAAGGATAAAGAGACCAGGATCAACACTCACAGTCAAGTTATCATGAGGACATGCGTGAAAACTTCCAAACCAAGGTTCTGCACCCCGCCACCCCCAGCCTCCTGTTGGTCTGGCCACAGAGCTAGGAATGTGCTCGGCTCATGTCCCTGAGAATGCACTCCCATATGGGACCAGGTGTCAGGACTGGCCTCCTGGGGGCCAAGCAGCCCACAAGGCCATCTGGCAGGCTTTCCACCTCTCAACAAGGCCCTGTTTCACTTTAGCCTGTCACAGAATCTCCAGGAACAATATGCTGGAGAGGGTGAGAAGAAAACACACACACACACAGTAAAAGAGTAACATCTAAGACATTGAGACACCCGCCTTGTCCAGGCTAGAGTTGCATACTAGGGAATTTCTGCCAGATTCTTTGCATATTTGGGCTTGTAACAAACTGCACGTGCTCATCTGCATTCACCAGTGAGAACCTAATGGGCCACCTTGTCAGTGGTGCCCGGCCATCCGGACACAGGAGCAGGGGGCCACTAATGAGCATTCTATGTCCTGGCCAACAAGGGCTATTCCTGGAAATGAAAACGCAACTTGATCTGATTTGCTTGTTCCGATTTAAGGCCACAGCAGCTGCCCCTCCATGGATTGTAAATGTGTAACAAAATTGGTAATGTAAAATTTGTATTGAAACATAACAAAAAAGTACACAAATTATAAGTGAATCATATAACCATTCCCAAATAAGAAAAAGAATCTAGGAAAACTACTAGCAGCATCCCAGGAAGACCACTATCCTGACTTCTAGAACAATTTATTAGTTTTACCTGTTCTTGAAATTATATTAATGGAAACATAAATGATCTTCTATCTTCAACATTTAAAATACATGGATGGTTAACTACAAATTTCCAACAAAGTTGCATGCAAGTTTAAAGAAATTAGAGTAGAATTCATACTTAACTGCAGGGTTTATTCTGGTGCAGGCAAGGAGAACTGTTTGGCTGGAATGTCACTCTCAGGAAGGGCCTCAAATTTAGACCTTTGACATGATCTTCAAATGGTGCTAATGTGCATTTAGATATAGACACACTGACAGGACTGGAAAAATGGGTCCATCATATAATATTAAAGCTAAGATCCATTTCTGGACTACGTTGCCTATCATGAATTAATATTGTAAAGAAATCTTTGGTGAATTCAAAATTAAATGCCCTTGAATTTTTTGTGTGAAAAACATTAAATAGTTATATGCAAATAGGATATATATATATATATATATATATATATATATATATATATATTATATTATATTATATTATATTTTGGTAATCCTATGTCAGGTTTCTCCACCTTTAATATATTAAAGTCTCAAAAAAATTAGAAGTGGCCATGCCTCTTCCAATTTCCAAAAAAGGTCTTCATAGCAATAGCAAAAGTGGCACTGTGTATTGTCAACAAAGACCCTGAAGACTGGAGAATAAGGAAGTGGCTAGTGGGGAAATGATATCTTTCTCTTCCCAGCAACTTCTGCCACAGAGAAGTCACTTTGTAGTCCTTTATTCTTGTGGCTGTTATGAAAATAAGTTCCTATAGTACTTGGAAAGATATTTATGAATCTTTTCACTTTTAATTCAATGTATCATACCTGCACACTTGCCAAATTCCCTTTATGCTTTAAATTTTGCCCATGTTTCATTGTTGTCAAGATATTCGGCCTATTTTAAGTATTCTTTCCTTTTAACATGTCATTACATGATACAATGGTCTGGGGAGGTACATCTCAGTGTTGCATGCTTAGATCACCTGTGTCAAAAGGACCCAGGATCTTGTCACACATGCTTATTCCTGGACCCCAACCCAGCTCTCCTGAAGAATCTCTAGAGTTGGTGCCCAGAAATACACACCATGGGTTCAAAACCAGCAGCTTCTGCATCACCATATGATTCTCCTTTTAAGGAACTGACTAGATTTCTGGCTTTTACAAAATATTGATATCTATATTTCAGTAGTGTTTTGATAGTTAATTTTTTATTGCCATAACATAATACCTGAGATTGAAAAAATTATAAAGGAAAGAGATTTACTTTGGCATGATTCTGGAGACTGGGAAGTCCAAGAACTAGAGGGTAATTTCTGCTTGGTTTCTGGTGAGGGCTTCCTGCTACATCAACTTGTGGCAGAAAGCAGAAGAGCAAGTGGGTATGTTCAGAAAAGGCACAGGGAAAGCTCACTTTATAACCACTCACTCTCAGCGCAAATAATACATTCCCTGGAAATTAAAAACTAACTCAATCCCATAAGACAGATTTATCCATTTATGAGAGCTCACTCCTGTGATCCAACTGCCTTGCCTCCCAATGTTGATGCATGGGGGAATTAAGATCGCAACACATGAATTTCTGGAGAACACAGTCAAACTACAACAAATGGTGTGCATCTTCAGTCTGCATGAGGATCCATCATAGATGGGAGGACCCACACTGGAGCTCAGAGAAGCAACCAAGTATGAAGGTTAAAAACCAGATCCCTAGATGAGGATCCAGCTCAGTGCTTTCCTGGCAGCACATCCTTAAACTCAACCTAAGCCTCATTTTCTCTTTTATAAAGTGGGAAAAGTAACACTAACTCATAGAGTCATTATGAGAATAAAATTTTTAATGCCCATTAAGCACTTAGAGTATGTATGATGCATAGTAAACAGTCAATAAGTGACATCTATTCTTATCATTATGACTAATTGCAATTCAGGTTTTTAAAGTGCGAA